AGATGTGTATAAGAGACAGCCTAAATCCTTTACAAAGATGAACAAACTTTAAAGACGATTTTCTCGAAAACGGAGCCCCGGATAAAAAAATGTTATACCAAATTTGTTTCTTATTTTTTCACGTAGTATTACACTCTGCTCAGTTGTGCTACGAATTCTGGCCCATCCTGTATACTACAATACTAAAATAATATGATAATAGTAAAACAATGTAATAAGCAAGGATTCATTACATTTCTGTAATTATTTTATCAGAAGCATCATTAACATAAAAAAGTCGTACCATGCAAAATTTAGGTAGATGTATGTTTGGTACGAGTTTATCATTACAAGCAGAGATGCTTACAATGTACGCGAATATTGACTTATAAAGTATGCTGTAACTTCGTCACTGTTTAAGATACAACAATGGAATTCACAAGATATGTATAAAAAAGATCGTGGAATCTAATCGTTGCATTAAACGGTACAATTTCAAAAACGAACATTAGCATTAGTCGTTCTGCATTTTTCTGTCTAAATAAGTGAGAAGAAACGAAACTACTTAAGTATTCATTGGAAGTATGCTGCTTCAGTTGATTATGCTGATTAGATTCAGTATTCATTTTTGTATTATCGAAGCAAATAAAAGAGCACTCGTCAGTTGGATGGGGGATCGGAGCGGACTTATACAATTTTTTCAGAATTTGTTTTCGCGCGTTGTTTTCCCCCATTCTGTAAACGTTATTCGTTTATCTTCCAGCGAGCTACGAGAAACTGCGACAGAAATAAAGTTTTGCAGGTTGTGAAAGTTTGGCGACGGGTAAGGAAGAAACCGAGACTGTAAACAACATGGTAACGCAGTTTCGTTGAAGCGCAGTTGTCCTCGTTTACACAACGTTCGATTTCCGGATTATTATCACCGGCGAGAAAGTTTGCGCGCTTATAATTTGCATTTCGATATATTTCCCGTAATCCTATTCTGTCAAAGCCACAGCCGCTCTTATCCACTTATCTCCCTGCGTTAAATAGAGTTTAAATTCTCTGGCCTGCTTCTATGCGTAAATCTTAGTAGTTATCAGACGCCGATGATAAATGTTCGTCGTACAGATACTAGGTATTAAATATACAAGTCTAATCAGCCACGGAAACGCTGGTAATAAACGGAATCCCGCGATCACGATGTAAAACCGAATTCTAATCGACGAGCAGTTCTTTGGTGACGGTGAATCTGCGTTATAAATTTCTTGTCGTAAATAATTCTTAATGCAACGCTCGTACGAGCGAAATCAATTTTCAGTTTGCAATTCAAAAGACATGTCAAATATCTATTTAAGCAACGGAACGAAAACCAGTCATTCTCTAAAAGAATATACAGTAGCGGTCATGAATTTAAGACGATGAATGATAATTTCAATTATACGCATATATTCTATAACTGTTACTTATTTACTTTGTTTCTTTCGCTTTTAAATCTATAGTTGCATGACGTTTTTAGACTTCCCCGACTTCTATGAACGACGGACAATAGCTAACGACTGCCTAGCGAGAAACGCTTCACAAACTCGAGCGTTATTTTACAAAATAATATTTTGCAAAAATATTAAATTTAGTGTCTTAACCGCTTGCACTACGATTTTCGTTTCAGTTACGTTGATTTATTTCTTGTTTGCTAATCTTTACCTTAATGTTTGAATATTATCGATAGAAGGGTATAATTGAATAGCGATAGAACAGAATAAATCTTCATGGCGGGTCTGAGACGATATTACGAGGCAAAGGGATAATTTTTTTGTCCGCTAATGTAGTTGTCGAGAAAATTGCGCGACGCATTTAACGAAAGTATCCAGGCTCGTATAGGCAAGAAGAAATGTATCAGCACGAGTTAAAAAAGGAAAACAGGAAATAAAATTACACGACCTAGACGGGATCGCATCTTCAGCAATAAAGCGCTCTCTATCGGAAACAGATTACCGAGGGAAAAATTGAAGATGGATTGAATGTGGAGGCGTTGAAAGGGGAAGAAGAATAGAACCATCGCCACACATTCATTTGAACTGGCGCAGTGCTTCGCGTGAGAGATGGACAGAAAGAAGAAGCGTCGGAGAGGGTGAGTAGGAGAAAGAGGAAGAATTCGACGCACGGCTCGCCGTCTATCAGTGACAAAGGATTCCCAGAAGATACCTGCACGTCTTATTCGGAAAATTTACTCGGGAAAAGTATGTCAAGCTCGAGCTCCTCGTCCTTACCCGGCCATTGTGTTTCTACTCTATACCACTTGATGCGACGCCGCGCCGCGCCGTCTAGACGGCAAAAACTCCTGGAAAATGATAGAACTAAGGAACTGGAAGTACGTAATAGACAGGGAAACCGGGAAAGGGGCACCTTCGACCAATTTGTCTCACAAACAACTGCTCGTGCCACACAGAGGTCAAGCGTGTGTAAAGTAATTTACATTAATGTTCGATCACTGGAGCAATCGCGACGATCATACGTGCTGTGATCAAGAAGAAGCCGGTCTCTTTCTGTGCACATAAAGATCAATCGCTTTGTGAGTCACTCTGAATGTCTCAACGTGTAAGATGAGTAATTTAATAACAGTGTGATTGCATTATTTCATCGCATTGATATAAGTAAGTTACCGTAAAATTGATCTCGTCCTTGAAAAATCAATATTAACCATTTTCTCCGTTGCATCGTATTCTACTCATCATTGAGATCAATAGAATTTACATTTACATCAATTTCGGTAACTAAAAAGAAAACTTTCGATTTTTGCATTTAATTTTCAAGATCAAGATCAATTTTGCGAGAGGAGAGAAGTTTAAAAGGGTAGAAATGTTGATTTTTAATGCCTCTGCGATACAGCCTTGCTTTGACAACAAGCTTGGCATTCGTTCTTTATTTTTAACTCCGTTGTCGAATAGCTTGTAGATCCCATTAACATATTTACTCCTTTTCGAGTGGTAAATTTATTACTGCCATTAATCACTGCGGATCATTAAAATTCAATTGCATCAGTTGCTTGCGTAGGTGTTGTTAATGATCGTGAATGTGACAATGAAATTAGTAACACCGTATTGTTGTCATTTTATATTACTCTGTTTTGATAGAAATGGAGCGTGTTTCGCTTTGCGGAACGAGCAAGAGTACAGATTATATCAGAGAGAAATAGTATAAATATAAATAAAAGAAATAGTATATATAAAGTAGGTATTAGCAAACAAGTGGATATTTTCTACAGAAAACCGCGATACGCTGGACAATGTTTCCACAGTGAACACCTCAGGGTTCCTCGGTCCATACACTTCCTCTGCTCGCTGTATCTTAAGCAGGCAGTCGCAAAAAATATGCAAACCTGCGGGAACGATCGTAACTTTACGATCCTGGAAAATGACGACAAGTTGATGGCTCGGAAGTTAAAATGCCTGTTTTTACACTAAGCGTTAAACATTCCGAAGGCTGTAATTCATTGCTACATACATAATGTTAATACGATAAGAATACATTTGCCAGCCATAAACGTTTCTCTCAGCACGGGGCTACTACTTTGACCGGAGACATATTGAAAACATGATGTTGAATGTGTCGGCCATTATTTTCAATTGCAAGTGTAATTGCAATGGTTTGATGTTTTCTTTATTCAGATCAATTTTCGTTCGACCACAACCTATGAATATTCTAAAAATGTAAATGCAGTAATAATTACCGACCAGTCATACTTTTTGTCATCTTTCTTACTCTTGTAATATATCATTATGTGAAATCATAATTTCATTCAGCAGATGTTATGCACTTTCATTTATTATGGAGTATACGTTACATGTGATTCAAGCAATTACTTATAATCTGTGGCACTCTGGTACCTGTATGCTTCTTATTTTCTTATTCTTTTAAAAACACCGATCGCTCTGCGATTTGTTTGTTATAATTTGAGCACAGTCGTCGGCGCATTGTTTCGCTCGATGACTGTGAAACACAGAACGAAGCATAAAATGTTACGCTTGTTATAAATTGCAAAGCCACAGGGAAAACAGTGGATTCGGGAGCAGATCAAACAGACGGGGAAGTTATGTCGTGAATGCGAGGGGAGATGCACCGATGGTGGGTAGAATATGGTATAAAGGAGTTGCCGCGGAAAGAAGTCGAATAATACTGGTGAATAGACGAGAATGCGGCAAAGGCTGGAGGAAGGAAAATTACAGAGTGAACTTAAGAGGAGATAAGAAATTATTTGAAAGATACCCAAAAGATGAGGGCTGAAGTTGGAACGGAATAAAAGCAGCGGCGGGCCAGATACGTTGTACCAGAATGGTATTAAAAGAAAGTAGAACCGAGTGGAGGAAAAATAAAGTCGAGAAATGGGAACAGCGCTCGGACAGCTTCCTATTGGTCAACAAACGATACACAACTAGGAAAAGAGAAAGCACGATTTAACAGGGGAACTTTTGAAGCGATTAGTTCCGAAGAAATTGCAAGTGCAACGAGATCAATTTAATGCAGAATGAAATGCTGAAAGATAACGAGAACAAATCTGGCAGGTATCTGCGCACTGGTTGTATTGTTTCATCAGGTGTCGGAGGAAAAATATTTATCATTTGACTTGAAGGTATTTTGTTGTTTAAATATTGACATTTGTGAAAAATGTATGTGCCGTTTCAAATACACTCGTAGCCGCAGTGATATAAGGTGGTTCATAAATGCTACTGGATAGAATCGAATATGTATTCGAAAGAAACGACGAAAACGATTTTCTTGCTGAAACTGTGTAGAATTTCGCAAGCTGTGTCTAAATATGTATCTGAAAGGAAAAGTAAATATAATGCCACAATAGCTTAACGTTAAATTATTAATGAAGGAATAAGAAACTTTATCTCACCAAAGATTGGGTTCGTTAAAAATCAGACAAGCATATCGCACGTTTCGTGTGCCTGGATGCTTTCGACTTGAAAGTTTAAAGCGACAGCGTATGTTCAATTCGAAAAGAAGGTAATGCGAACGCGAACATAGGATGTACTCACCAGGTGTGATATTCGGGAACGGTTGTCCGGGCAACGAAGGCGGATGTTCGTCTTCCGGAGAGCGTTCCGAGGCGTAACCTTGATCCTGCGGTTCCCCGCCGGCCAGTTTGCTCAATTTAAGATCGATGCACTTGCTAAGTTGTTGCCGATGCCTGACTAGTTCGCAATCGGGTTTATGCACAATTTGCATCAGCAAATCGTTCTCGGTGGCGTCGGGGATGCTGGGCTGTGAGGACGAGGAATTGATATCGGAAGCCTTCCTGCCGTTTCTGGTGTCCTGCTTTCGTTTAGGCAGCGTGCCCACCAGGTCAAGATCCGAATTCCGATGACATCTGTCTTCCAGGGACGAACCACGGTTGTATCTCCTCGAGGAATCGCTGGATACTGTGTCGGTGCTTCGGTTCCTTCTCACGGAGTCGAAATTTTCGTGGCGACATCTCACCAGATCAAGGTCGCTCTGCTGATACCTGCCAGAAAATAGATCGCACGTGCAGTTTCAACCACCAGAACAGACATCTAGATACAATCCTTGACAAGATATATTTCGCGTGGTTTATCATTAGCACGTTAAGTGCCGTTAAGTCCCCAAAATTGCCACAATATCATAGTAATTCGATCAATGAAACTGAAACTAGAGAGTTAAAATTTATCGCAGTGGGCGGTACTTCAATTCTCTTGCATTCTAAACGTCCCAGTAATATTAAGAGTGTTCAATATACTAAAATAAAAATGAATTTTGAAAATTAGTCAAAAATTAGTGTAATCCATATGTGATCGACTCGGCTCGCAACATGGGAATGGCACAGGCAATTGTAGTGACAAAGCTCATTATATATGTATTAAGAAAATATATACGATTATATTAAGAAAATGTTAGCAAAAAGAGAGATATGTTTGCTTTTTTATAAGCCAAGGAAAGAGAAAATTTAATATTGATTTGTGAAAGGAATATTGATAATATTGATTTGTGAATGTTGTGCAATATTTTTTGGCAACCTCTCTTGTGTTATAAAATTCATAATAATTAGAACTACATCGTTTTTATGATTGTTGTGGAAAATTTTGGCGTTGATTAATCTGTCCTATGTTACATCTTTGTAAGAGACTTTATACCGAATAAAAATCCATTCAGTTCATCATATCATCAATTTTCTTGTACTTATTTTTGAATCTACTTTTTTGAGATCAAGATTATCAACAACTAATAACGTATATTGACTAAAAGAAAGTTAGAATTTAGATTCTACGTTCATAGCCATGTTTCGAAATGAACCCAAGTCCTGCTATTCGGGATAACAACAAATAGGCTAACGACAACGTACTTAAACGTATATGATTGTTAGTTTATTAAAATGATTGTGAACCTACCTCCAAGGATCATTTTCATCTATGGAATCTTGCGATCGATGTTTCACAAGGTCTAACGCTCCAGTTGGCCCTCCATCTGAGAAGTGAACGCCCAACGACCGTTTCTTGTGTGGCAACGTTCCACCAAGATTCCCGGCAATAGTATCAGTCATTATGTTATTGTTCTCTTTCGAATCGTCATCCAGCACGTCCTTGTCGTCCAGATGGTTGGGCAATGAGCCACAGAATTTATATCTACACAAAATATTGCTTTTCGTGAATACGCGATAACTGCAGATACTATGAAATATACAATGGATCATAAGTTGTGCTACCGTTTCACAAAATAACTTTGCGGATGCTCGTTCAAATTCAAGTTTTAAGAGGTAGTCGTTGAAAATAGCAGTCGTTCAAAAACCCGTAATTTTAAAAGACAAAAATACATTTTATAGTTTATTGTATAACCAGAAGGTGAGTGCAAATATAATATAATAAACAAATAATAATATTATTAATTATACGATAACGCGAGCAAGCATTTATGTTCACGCTTTTATCAATATTCAAGAAATGTTAATTTGCTACAATTAACTCTCTATGTTCTCGCGCATTCAAAACTCTGAAGGTTAATTGTCTTAATTGTTGCTTTTATCGCCAAGTGTATGTTTAAACTACAGATGAGAATATTTTGTATTCATGGCAGTAAATAGCCTGTAGATCTTTTGCGTTCATAGTTACTTTCCTGGTTCATATGTAACGAAATAAAAACTTCCACAATAATTAGTGCAATTACTTCTAGCTAATGGAACTGTTATTAGAAGACGTTTCCACATATTTCTAATTTCCAAATATTAAACTTTTTTTTTTGCTGAATACACTATTATATTTTTGTAAAATTTTAAGCGTACCACATGCCAACCAACAATAATTTATTTGTGGATTCTCTAATTAAGGTCAGCAGCGTCACTGTGAACAAAATTATAAGAACATTGAAATAACAGTTTATCTAATACTGTAGAAGAAGATATATGTGTTGTTTTAAATCGCAGAATTATTGAGAAGGTTGAAAAGAGAACCATACTCTCAAAAATGTCGTAAATTTTACGATTGCATTAAAAAAGATGTTACATTTTGATAGCTTATCGTTATACTTGTAGGAAAAATGTGGTCATATTACTCTTAAAAAGAGATACATGCCCTGTCCCATTTTTTTTATGCCTTTGTATATGACATACCCACATTGACAAATTATTTACAGCTCAGTTAGGTCAAATTTATTTTTTAAATTGTTCTTTCGCATGTTATTGAGTATAAATACTGAATACTTTGTTCTGCTTTATAAGAAATTAAATTTTGCACATTTGTTCTCTCGAAGAAGGTAGCATTACATTGAAAATACCAAGTACAAAGTGTGAACTAAGAAACAATTTTCTAATTTATGTTACTGCTGACTTTACGCCGCTGGCAAACGAGGCGCGAAGCTGCTGCAAGAAAATGTATCGTCTATGTTTACATAATTTACACGCTTCAATGTCTCCTTGTTTTTCTGGTTCGGGTGAGCGTGTTTAAACGGGGATTCTTGTATTACAGAATATGATAGTGGAGCTAACGATACAATTTATGTAAGAACTAACTACTATCTTATTAATTATTATGTTCGCGAAATGTTGATATCCCAAGAAAACCAGAATTCACGATTTTCATTGCGTATATCTCAAGAACAATATTAAAAACGCACATTTTCTTTCACGTTTCCCACTGTGAAGAAAGTATTTAGTAAGTAAATATAACAGTAGCACAACATAGTCTCACACAAATCTAATTAAGAAAATATCGAATATGCATTGGTCAGTGATGTTTATGTGTAAACATAATACACATGTAAATATTGATTTTATTTGTCTATACTTTATCTGCTTTTTTCTTTATTTTTCGAATCACATTAGAATGACTTATGTACTATCAATTAATACAATTTTAATGATCTCGAAACAAAATGAGCGTAAGAGCGTAAGAAGTAAAGGCTACTAATTGTAGAACTTTCGATCGCAACCGTAGTATAAAACATACTAATGCGCTGAAAGTGTTTGCACGTCATTTTCAAGATTTCTAATTAGAGCCTGCTTTGTAGACGGTTCAGGAATCGGTGATTAATTACGGACAAATTTTCATAATGGAACAGCTTTAGGATCCCGTGGTTCACTTTGCGTTATCGTTGCGTTTAAATGTAACGCGATCCGTCAGACGTGATGCGTGGTTTACTGCAAATTATGTCGAAATCGTTCACGCCGTTTGCACGTGACATTATATTAGCAAGACTACGTTCACTGTCGGCAGCGGTAGCAACCAGGACGTTCAACATTCACGGAAATGTATTGTACGCGGGACGTTTTACCTCCGATTTTGCGAACGAATTATGACAAAATGATCGGTTAATTGAATTTTTTCGGAAACCGCAGAAATCTCGTCGCGCCGTATCTTCATCTTATACGACAAATTATAATTTATTAGTAGATTGCGATTTTACGGTTTTTACGATGCATATTTATAAATTCTACAATTTTGTTTTAGGGGAAGAATGTGTAGGCGTTTGAAACAGTAGAAAGTTTAAAAAATGTAAAAATACGTAATTATCAACTTATTTAAATTATTAAAGAAAAAAATGTTTATTTTAGATAAAAATCCATTGTCTGTCTAATTGCTTATAATTTCCATGTTCATTTGTTACTTTTTGATCTACGATATTACATTATTGTCACTACAATTTGTACAATACAGTGGTAGGAATAATTATAGACTCGAAGTAACGTCTACATTTTTAGTGGTATTTAAACAAAAACTTATATTAATATTATAATAAAACATCAAATTTGTATATCTGTATATTAGAAATAATAGAAAATAGGAATATACAAATATAGTTTCTTTTTTTTATTTTTATTTGAACGTGAGTAGAAATGTAAAAGTTACTTTGAGTTTATAATTATTCACAGCACTGTGGATGACCTCCTTTTTAGCTGAAACACCCTTTATATTTAAAAAAGAACTTAACAAGATATCGTANGTTTATAATTATTCACAGCACTGCGGATGACCTCCTTTTTAGCTGAAACACCCTTTATATTTTAAAAAGAACTTAACAAGATATGGTATATGATTCTATTTTCTATTATTTCTAATATAGAAATATACGAATATGATATTTTGTTATGTTTTCGTTTAGATATCATTAACAATGTAAAAGCTTCTTTGAGTCTATAATTATGCACACCAGTGTATGTATATGCTAGTATTTTGTTCAAAGACTACAAAGTCTGGCCACTTTATCATCATCATCATCATCATCAGTATGATCTTTGTGTATTCCAGATCTTCTTTAGATTCTTTCTATATATTTTCCGACATTTAAGTGTTTTCGTGCTTTCGGTGACATTTACATTGAGGATATCTAACAGTTTTGATACTTCACTCAGCTCAATGTCCGAGATAAATTTAATGTCCGAGATAAATTTTACAGCCACGTGCCTATAAATAGAACTACCGAAAGTAGAGGATCAGCTTAATAAATAGATGAATCAAAGAGAGCAAAATGTGATGTGTTAATCGGTGTTCGGTTAAACGAGGTCCTACCGTAGTAACGTGCCACAATGAATGTAAGCTCGGTGATTCTATGTCGGCAATATTAGTTGACAGATGAAATTACATGGTTAAATGAGCAGTTTCGCCGAGTATAACAACAGCACTTACGCAAATGAAATCAAAATGCGGGCGCCTTTTAACGTTTTTCTCTCTTTCTTCAACGAGCTACCCTTCCATTTGGCTTCCTCCTCGCAACGCCGCCGGTATCCGTTTTCGTGCAAACGAGGATTTAATGGTAAACGACCTAGTTCCGCGACTGACCGACCTTAAAGGAACTTTAAATTATCTCGTGACCAACTTGTTATGCCAAGTTATGTCACGTTATTCCTGGTTGTTTCAGCAACACCGAGTGCCGCCATGTAATAAGGAATTTTCAACGGTGCGTCGTGTTTAATCCCGGTTCTAAACAGCTTCATCTCTAGTTCGATGTTTCCGTACGTGTATCACTTTAACGTGATATTGCTACCTATTCATTCTAACTGAATTAGAGATTATAAAGTCTAGAATAACCAAAATCGGCAAAATGATGGATTCTCAAAATTTGTTGTTTTATAATTATTCAGCTCGTAAAGATGTTTTAACGGATAACTACCGAATACATTTCTGTATTCAGGATCATTTTGTAAAAAAAATTGTACAATATCTTGATAAAATCTTTGTAACATATTCTTTCAATAATTATCAACTCATTAAAGTTATTAGAAAACGAAATCGATGTCTTTACAGCTTCTGTATCTCGCAGTTATTGTAGTCAGTCTTTATTTTGCATAAACGTTCACGGTTTGCCGAACACATTTAGAGCTTGGTTATCACAGAGATAATTATCTGACTGAGAGTATCGTAGTAATTTGTACGATTGTTAAATGAGTAGCGAAACAAATGAAGGACAACGGGGAAAATCTAGCTTCAAAATTAGTCATAGTATTGTTTCAACGGGATGTATTTTATTAGAGAAACACAAGATAAAATTTTAGTACGACAAATGTAAATGTATTTATAAGGCGATTCATTGAAGTAATGAAATCATTGCTCGTTGAACTGAAGAAAACATTTTGTAACGAGTAAATATCGCTTGGTTGAAGTTGTTAATTTTGATTCAATTACTGTCGGTTCGTTCAGGTGCAATGGTCGTCATGTAATTAATATTTAGCTCATCGATTTAATGGATTTTATTTCAACCTTTATTGTTATACGCATGTGTTGCTGCACAGATTCCAATTATATTTGTCTTCTTCAAAAACTCGTATCAATGTAATTGAAGTTAAATTGAAATTGACATCGATAATTATATGGAAATTGATTACAAATTATATAATTGATTATATAATTGATTCAATTACGATCACACAAACCGATTTTTCCTTTAATTCTTTCAGATGAAAGTTATTTAAACGGCTGTGAATTTATGGATATAGAAAATTATTTCGCTATTCTTTAATTAAAACAGTAACTCTATCCAGTACCACTGCTTTGCGGTTGTTTTATTGTTTTCTCCGCAAAACTGTTATCTAACAATTTTTCCGATACCATGAGTGTGCTTTGCAGCCAGATTGTATTACGTAGAAGAATTTCACGTTCAGGTCAAAAGAGGATTTTATTCGTGCGAAAGCACAGCAGCGTTCGCTTCGCTCAATTATCTTAACTGTCTCATCTTCCTGGTGGAATTTAATTACAACGCGTTTCCGGTTCAGCGTTTTAACTCTAACGCAGTTTGTAACTTAATCAAAACAATCTAGCGTATATTGTTTTTAATTCGTAGGAAATTAATTATGAACTTATGGACCTATCGTAGTTGTGGTAGCAGTTCATTTTTTATTTAATAATTAGTATTTTCCGTGGAAAACATCAGCGAAATATAATATCGTCTAACGTAGGTGTTTAAACGTGCGAAATTAGGTTTACAGATTCTGTTCTATTAAGATTCGTAAACAAAGCTCGAGCTTTTCGCAAAGTTCATTCTACATGTATGTACGTTTAAATGGATCGGCGCGGTTCGACGGCACAATATTGCATAAGGACAATGTTTGGTTTACGTTCAATAGTGCAGTGGGCATTTAACGCGCTTGTCAACTCTATCTCGATTGTGTTAGCATGTGAACAGCGTTCAATCAATGGAATGAGAGTTAGTCGAACGGAATCGAATGTATCTGTCCTAAGAATCAAGAGTGCAGGATTTAGATTTACATTAACAAACGAATGTTAATAAATTCGGCGATCGGTAGATCGTTCTATCGTCAAATTTATTTCTCCTATTATTATCTACCTCTAAAACTTGTGTCTAAATCATGGTTCTATGCACTTATTTAGAAAGATTTACAATTGACATACAAAAGTATCAAGTGGAGCCATTTTTAATTTGCTGAAACTGTTAGTTTACTGTTTACTTCGCCATAAAAATAGTTCGTTTAAAACCATACGTGGTGGGTGAAAATGAATAGAAAAGTTAAGAAGTTGATAAGTTAAGTCTTGTATCATCGAAGTTAAAAAGATCCCTAATTGTAGATTTTACATTGTTAATTCCGAAACAAAGCATTGCAGCCTGTGTGTTACACGTTTTCTTTTTTTCTTCTCTTACGTATATATAAATCTCTCCCTCAATATTCGGGTACCTTTCAAAACACAATAAGTCTTTCAAAATCGAACAAAATGATTTTTCTGAAATGTTAGGCAGACTAGTTTATTAGATAAGTAATAAAATAATTTTTACAAAAAAGAAATGGCAATTGGTTGGAGTAACAAGGCAAATAAAAAGATGATGTCTTCTTTAACTTTTTTTTCATCAGAACCTAGAACATCAAAATCGGTGAACATAGTTATGAGCTACGATCATTAAAAGATTATTATTTGTCGAAAATTGTGAAAAAAGCTCCGAATTTCATTGTATCTCGTAACAACGTTCGTCGACGTTATTTCAACTTTCATTCTAGGCTTCGATAAAAAAGTTGAAGAAGACATCATCTTTTCGTTTTGTTTTCTCATTCCAACCAATTTCAATTTTTGCCAAAATTGCTCTGAAAAGTTACTCTATAATACTGAGAAAGTTGTTCCATTTTAAAAGGTGTCTGAGTCGATGCTGGAAGAAGAATAAGAGACCGGAGCGAATGCTAGCATTACCTTTCTCTCTGCGCGCTGGAACAGGGAACCAGAATCTTGCCCATGCTGTTGAGCTTCCCTTTGGGTTCGCACAGATTGCCGGAGGATTGGGTCCTGCGGCCCGTAAGGCCCTTCCCGTTATGACGACTCAAATTCGAGCCCATGGTCGTCTGTTCGTCCTCGACTTGACTCTCGTTCGTCCCGTTCTCTTGGTTCCTGGTGTTCACGGCATTTCCTGGCCGGTTCTCCTTGTTCGGCCAGTCGAAATACTTGTTGATGTCCTTCGCATTGACCTTGCAGGATATCGGCGGCGGCGGTGGAGCTGGACGGGTCCGTTTACCGGTGGGCACTGCTTGCAACTGTTGATGGTAACCTCTGCGCCGATTACCCGGCGATTCGCTGCTCAACGAAAGTGTCTGCGTTTTCCAGCTATCCTGACCTCCGCTCGTAGGTGGAACTGTTACGACTTCCTCACCTGTAACAATCGTACGAATTCTGCTTTACAGTTTGCCCCGTGACGTTCAAGGTCCGCGGGAAATGAGGAACTGTTAACGAAATAGTTAACGACTCCATGCTCGTTTCAACAGTAAACCTACTATAACGTAAGCTTGTAATCTTTATTATTTCGGCAATTTGAAAATAAAAATGCAAGACCGGTCATTTTGATCGGTTCGGTAGTGTTAGTGTTAAACTGGCCACGGAAATGAGGTAACTGGACTGCGGATTTTAGGAATTTCTAATGAAAATGAGTGAGTGAGATTTCAAACAGTAGACAAATTGGAAGAACTTAAGAATACAGATTACTTACGTCTTGGACAAACTATTAAAGAAAAAAATAAATTACTATGTATTCTACTTTCTGAGTCTTGAAATGGACGCGAACGATTTTTATTTCGCACGAAGAATCACAGTCTAATAACGTAATGCTTTCATAGTAGGCGCATTAGATCATTTCACGATGGGCATAGTGGTTGCGACACACATGACTCTTGTGTGTCAATTTACTTATATATATATTTGATCTGCGAAGTATGAATTTGTTTTTTGAATCAGCGGAACATTATATAGACGGTTGGGTACAATTAAAAACTAACCACATTTCTGACTTGCGAAGTTTAAACAAATGTTTTCATATCGTTCCGGATATAATATATTTCACATAGTTTTAAACTTGCAATAATTTGCAGTTTCGATTTTGCAGAATTCTGCAGTTTCGATTCCTGCTGTTGAAAGTTCTCTCCAGTTTACCGCGTCCGGTGCAAGCGCATTTTGAAAACACGAAACGAAAAGAATCGCTGATTTACCGCAAGCAGACGCGACTCAAAACAATCAGATTCCTTGTTCCGTTCGAATGTTTTAAAGCTTCGTTGCACGGAATGCAGCATTCAGAGCGTATAACGCTAACGTTATGTTTATCGGGTCCGATTCACAGGCGCCGCACTGTATTACGGCGCGATAGTAATATCCCCGGCACACGAACCACGTTGCATAACTGTATTATTAATGAGAGACGCACGCACGTGCACACACGCGTCAGCACGCATTCATCGAACAGAGCTGAATTGAAAGCGGCTCGGGTTGCTCCCGCTTGTTGCGTTTGCAGACGGCAGCGTTTTCTTCTAATCCGTGAACGGAATCAGCTGGATACCGGGAACAATAACCCAAGCTTAACTTGCTAGGTTTGTGTTAACGTATTCGTTGTCGCATCGGTTTATGTCGCATTGAAACATTCAAAGAGAAATTGAGAAATACACGAAAAAATATGCCCGAAAATAATTAATTAAGAAATGCTAATGATCAGACTACTAATGCAAATAAATAGTGTTATACAATGAGGATATACGAAATTGTATATCGATTTTGTCATGTAGCTAAGGATATTAGTATCCCCTACTTTCATATTTCGTTACTTTCTAATAATATTATATTATTAAATAATTGCTTCTTATCGAATTAGAAATGGGACCTAGGCTGGAATTCTTTCTTTAATTGGTGTGCTTAATTACATAGATTCAGGATTGGCGTACTCAGTGTATTATCACAAAACTAAATTTGAAATGTGAATTGCAAAGAGTAATCGGTGCAACAGCCTAGGTGGCAACTCTTTTGTCTTCAATTTTATTTATTCTGTCGTGAACTTAAAGGATAAGTATAACAAACATTTCGTGTTTCTTACGTTTATTAGATAATATACATTAACAGAACATATATATCAACAGTAGAATAGATTAAAGAGCAACAAATATGACGTTTGTAACAAGTTATATTTAACCTTTATATATTTTACCTTTATGTTCTTTTATTATTATTATTGTACTTTCAGATTTCGCGTACTTCGAGTAACGATCGAGTAACCGTTATTTTGATAAAAGAGTTTCGTATATTTGCATATTCGCATTATGCATATGGCGGTAATTGAGTCGGTTCAAGAAATATGCGAAATGCACTTCGAATGACAGAATAAATTAGTGGAGAAAGGAAAGCCAGCGTTTCACAGAGCATTCATTAATGAAGGATTCACCGTGTATTTGTGTTTTCAGAGTGCCAACAGGAACATCGACGAGACCTTTGTGTTTCATTCTTGAAAATGGAACACAATCAGCTCGTCAGAAAGTATATCGCGTAATTAAGACTGCAAATTAAAAATTGGATTGTGTTGGTTGCTCGTTCTACAGGCTTAATCTTACATCGAGGAAAAAAGGTAACGTCGTTCGCACGATTGTACCTCACTCTGTATCAGAAATTAGGTGAATCTACTTCGTTCTTATTATGTCCTAATTAATATAGTACAGTTACTGATTATTCAGTCAGTGAACTTTGTACACAACGTGTGGTCAATTCTGTTGTGCGATACAGAATTTTAATTAGTCTCAGTCAACATTAATTGACTGAGAAAAAGCATCCACAATCGATGTTAAATATATATATAATTTACACATTATACGTCGTTTAAACCCAAATGAAATTTTTAAAAAATTTCATCGTTCAACACATTTGGAACCTTTTTATGCTTCGACTATTGATAGATGATTTGTATACAATTTTAGTGCGTTGAATCGAGAATCGTTTTCCAACATTAAGAATTTTTTTCTATACATGTGAATGATACGTAGAACAGTTCTGTAGTTTCACTTACGGTATATTTTTTAATAGCATTATGAACTTTTAATCGTCCTTGAAGACTTTTCGAAGAGGGCAAGACATTAACGCACTAATTTTCCCTGATGTGGTAAAGCATTCTTCTATGTGATAGAAATTAAATGACTGCCATTAGGACTCAGATTTTCATAAGATTAGTGAATGGATTAGAAAATGGATTGTTGGCACAAATATTTCATATTCTAACATAAAACAAAAACATTTTCATTCGAGGGTATTTGAACACTTCGCTCGAAGCACAAATAAATCTTTGAGACTGATTAACTGCAATTATTGCATGTGACCGTAAAGAAACGTACAGCAACTCACAATCATGATATAATGACTGCACAATCCTCTTCATTTTCTCCTCTTTTTTTGTGAACTGAGGATTTCGTAAGTTGTAAGTGATGAAATATATTTGAGCGTTACTGTGCGCACGAGAAGAAAAATAGTTTCCAAACCTGAAACCACCGTTGCATCGGTAATTGCGTCTTATTAGTGCATGACTTATTTATAACACGCGAGAAATCATTACCAACCAGACATACACGGAACATGTTCCCGTACTTTGGGTGAACTCAATGAAAGTCGAGCATAACTACTTGTCACAAATTCTAATTTTGTGAAAATCCATTATTAATAGATCCGAGAAATTTCATTCGACATCTCATTATTATATTGCGATATGTTCTACATTTACAATTCTTACAAATTCATGAAGCACAGGGAACACATTTATCGTTGACATAAGCGTACAGTTGTACAACAAAAACTGTATTGTTTATAGCATTTAAATAATTATTTAAGACAAAGTAGGTGATTGTGTTTCTTTATTTTACTTCTAATTGCATGCAACGAGGTTTGTAAATAAAATATAATGGACCTGCAGCTTTTTGAATTGCGTTCATAATATACGGTTGCTATGAATCTTCGTCTTATAGTGCACTCGGACAAAATTCTTTAATTATTAATCCATGTTATAAATTCTTTCTTCCAATTTAATGATTCCGCAAACTGTGCTTATTATACATCCGCAAAGCAGCATTCTTCGCTGTAGTTGTAAAACCGAGACGCTTGTACAAACAAAAGTGATTACAGTTTCCAAGAAAGTCAGATAAAACTCGCAAGTATCAGATAAGATGGTCGTTTACAGTGTCAATTTTTGTTATTTCTTTACGGAATTCAATTCTACGGTACGTACGTGTATAATATAAGATAATCGGTATTGTATAATGCATTTCAGAACAATTAAATCTGATAAAACATCTGGCACACTTGTAGACTGTATCGTTATTGTTATACAATTTATTTTATCGTATTGAATTTGTGCCACGCCTAGTCTGTCGAGAGACTTACAAAGCCAGCTTCGTCCCTGGTACCATTTGCAGAGTCAACGTCGAAAAATCGTACGTAATCGAGACGAATTAATGCGAACGATCGATCATGCAACGGATTTCGTAACACGTTGGTGTTACCGGCTTCGGCGATTGTTACACATTCGTGGTCTCGTGAATCCGTTATTAAATTGTAGCTAATTTCCTAAGCCTCTTGTTGCTGGTCGGTAACTGTGCGCGATTCGTTTGCGCAGATAGTTAAATAGATCGTAACGCATTATATTTTTTACGTCGGTACACACCTAACTGCGAACATGGAACGTTACGCTTTGAAAATTTTCTATTCTATTATCGCGGTTTATGGAAAATCTGTTGTACACATAATGACTCAATTGAAGTTAATTAGAAATCTAGTGTGCAAATGAAAAAAAAAACCGATATAAAAGAAGTATTGTTATAATACATGTGATGGTTTCTGTTACAATAGATATTTTTTTATTTATCGAATGCAAAATAGGTAAAGGGAAGAAATTGATAAGTGTATAATTATGAAAATGATAAACGAGTGTACGATTCTTTAATTAGACTTAACAAATGAAACTAGATTTAATCAAATGGTGTTACGTTAGTTAACACGACGCATCAAATAATGTATTAAAAAAAGGTTATAATTATAGCCTAATATAATTGTAACGTTAGGCTTTTTATAGTTTATGTAGCATATGTTACCAACAAGTTAATTAACATCCGTAAAATGTGCAAATCTTAC